ATGGCCCACATTTCCTGCAAGATCTTAAAAAACACCTCCCCCTTCATATTTCAAACCCACATACTAATGCATCACTTTTGCCGTAGAGTCATCTCTTGAGTTATAAAGGCATCTTATGTTGCTTTTTCCCTTGAAACTTAACATCAGATTCACACGGTAATGAGACAATTTTACAAAGTCAGATTTATGGGACAGATATAGTGAATACATGTCACTTTCTGCTGTGTGAGCTGATATTCACCATTTGAAAGCAGAACCAAACACTGAGCAATCGAGTACTGTTCCTGTAGAGTCAATACTGACTCCAGGGTACTGCCTCTTAATTTGCCTTCAGTGGCTCTTAAGAGTTCTTAAAAGCAAAGGTTTTACATGCTAAGTGTGTGTGCTACTACAGACACTGTGGTCCTTTGTATCATCATAAACAGATGCATTCATGTCATATTCTCATTATCTGAGACTGACGTGGTAAAACACCTTGTCAAAACTAGAGTTGCCAGGGCTCAGGGTGCTAGCTGGAATTCCAAAGAATTGCTGTGCTTCCCTGCAAATCTAAAAGTAGACCCATATTTCTGGGCTAAGCACTGCTGGAAGAGGAGAAAACCTAGTCTTCTTGCCGGATATCCAACACTCCTCAGGAGACTTTTAAAGCTCCTTTTCTTTCTAAGACCTAGTGTTCCATCTTATAATATATCCTGTACATATATCTTCCAGTCTTACAATCAGCATTGTATTAGCACTGCAATCATCTATTGCAGTTAATATTTTATTATATTACTGATCCTTTTGTTGTTATGTTATGGTTTATATAATTGGGTTAACTTAAACTACCAGGCGGCAATCATCAGTCACTTTCATTGGTTTTGCTGGTTTGTTTGTTTGTAGTACTACTTATGCACTCTTATTATTTTAGTTTGTATGTTTTGCTTAATTATGTAAACTGTCCCAAGTAGTATTTTACTAAGTCAGCCTGTCTAGAAGCTCAGTAAACAAATAATAAATAAATTAGCATCACTTAACTCAGGAGATGAAGTACAATAGCTTAACTTAGTTTCAAAGGTCAGTAAGAGCTATATGTTTGCAATTCTACTTGTACTTCATTATGGTGGGCTAAAGCAAATAATTATGGGTGTTAAATAAATAACAATGCACAGTTGTCACAAACCTTGTAGCAATATATTCGCGAAGGCTTTCACAGCCGAGATCTAATGGTTGTTGTGGGTTTTTCGGGCTCTTTGGCCGTGTTCTGAAGGTTGTTCTTCCCAACGTTTCGCCAGTCTCTGTGCCCGGCATCTTCAGAGGACAGAGTGCTGTCCTCTGAAAATGCCGGCCACAGAGACTGGTGAAACGTTAGGAAAAAGAACCTTCAGAACACGGCCAAAGAGCCTGAAAAACCCACAACAACTTGTAGCAATACTTCCTAATCTTCTTAATCTCCCTAATAGAATGCACTGTTACAACCTCTTCCTCCTCATTTGTTTTAATCATCATGCTGGCAAAGTTATCTTCATACCTTACTCATGGGGTCCCTTAAAAACAAAGACACAGTTCATGTTTGCATGTACTTGATCCATAAACTCTAGTTATCATTCCATGACCTTTCCATGCTTTCAAAGACATTCTGATCATATTTCATTACATTCAAGAGCTGCTAGCTCTTTAGGTTTGACACATCAGAATGTCATTAAGAATCAGCTCATAGTTATCACTTTCTGAAATATAAGTCTGTTCAGAAAATTCAGAGAATCCTTGCGTGAGTCCTAGGGATTATGTGTAACGAATGTATGAAGGGGAATCGAACTTGTGACTCTTCACTAATGGGAGGTTTCTGTAAGCAGAGAGAGTTTTCTTCCCTGCTACCCCTGTGCCCTCCAAATCTGATTCAGAAAGTTGGGGAACGCTCTCACTCAGATTTCAGGAGGCACCAAGGTTTCCTTTGCTTTGTCAAACCTTCCATCGTTGGAGGAACAGTAGTCCTCAAATGCTTCAAAACACTGTGAGCATGAATATGTATGCATGTGTCCATACATTCTTTAGAGTTCATGAGCATTATTTTAGCAATCCTAAAGACAGCCAAGGAAGATTTATCAGTAATGGAATTGCCAGTGGAATTTCACAACTGGGTAGGAGTGTTTGAAGAGGCAGAGTTCCTTATTTATTTTCCTTACTTTATTCCCATTTCCCAATTTTCTGTCTCTCTGTCTCTGATACAGAGAATATCCCCAATTACCGTATATCTCTACAGTGGGGTCTTGGCTTAAGAACGGCTCGAGTTAAGAACATTTTGACTTAAGAACTGCTCTCATAGGAAAATATTGACTTGACTTAAGTACTTAGATTTGAATTAAGAACTGAAAAAACCCACGTGGGAGGCAGGGAAAGTGCAAAATTTGAACTTTCAGTTAACTGTTGGCCAGTGACAAGGGTGCCTGTCTGCTTCCTCACTCCTCCCAGCGTTTCGAGAGTGGATTGGGAGTCTTCAGACTGCCTGGTACTGCCTGGACTGTCTTTCCCCTGCCTTCCCTGAACCTTTCTTGACCTAAGAAAAAAAGAAACAAAATATCCAATATGTATGCATGTGTCCATACATTCTTTTGATGTCTGCAATCCATACTCCTAGAGTTCATGAGCATTATTTTAGCAATCCTAAAGACAGCCAAGGAAGATTTATCAGTAATGGAATTGCCAGTGGAATTTCACAACTGGGTAGGAGTGTTTGAAGAGGCAGAGTCCCTTATTTATTTTCCTTACTTTATTCCCATTTCTCAATTCTCTGTCTCTCTGTCTCTAATACAGAGAATATCCCCATTTATCTCTCCGAAGGCGGAATAGCAGCTTCCCATTAGTTTCTATGGACGGAAAAGAGCAGATACGGATCAAATGGTTTTCAATGCATTCCTATGGGAAATGCAGATTTGACTTGAGAACTTTTTGACTTGAGAACCGCCTTCCAATACGAATTAAGTTCTCAAGTCAAGACCCCACTGTATAGGCATTTCCCTTTCCAGTCCCCTTGTGCTACTACTACTGTCCCCAGACAATTAATTTACAATTTCTCTACCTGCCTCCTTCTCACCAACTTTGCCTCTGCCTCATTGGCAACTGCAATTTTATCTAAGAAGCACAGACACTGACTCAATACTTTTTTTAATCCACAGTATCAGATGGTATTGCTGATATCTTACCTCCTTTCACATATGCCTGCAACCTAAATTTAGCTCCCATTTGTTATGGTACCAACAGCAGTGCATTTGTTTTTACCTTCTTTCCCTCTCAAAGCTAGATTTTAGTATGGTCATGGAAAGGAAAGATATTTTGATGCTCTGGTTCCCTTACAAATATCTGTTTTGCTAACATTCTGTCCCATGATTTAAAAAAAGTAAGAAGGCTGGAAACTGACATTTTGTGTGTGTGTGCATGTGTGTGTGTGTCTCACTCTGTGTGTGTGTGTGTGTGTGTTTGTATTGCTCATCGAATGGCTGTAGCTATGAAGAAAACTTGCTCATCTAGTACCACCTAGTGAGTTCATGACTGATTTGTATTGAAAACATCTCACTGTGTTATATGAGTTTTTGCTCTTCAGCCATATCAAAAACCCAGAAGTCTGGGTTTACTTCCATAACTCTAGGGAGAGTGACACTAATCCATGGCATCTGCCTTGCCTCTGTTCCCCAAGGATGAAACTAATATTATCACAACCCTAGAAATAATTTGTTGACTATTCTAAAGTTAAACTTACAGTGCGACCGCAATCTGTACATGTCTGCTCAGGTATAAGTCTTACTAAGTTCATTGTAGCTCACTCCCACATAAGTAGGTATAAGACTGCAGCTTCAAGTTCAACAATTGGTAAAGTGTGTAAAAGGGACAGTACTGCATTGTGCCATCATTTGTTTCTGTGGGGAAATTCCACAGACCTGAAGGGAAAAGCACTGAGAAACATGTATAACCCACAGTTTATGAGCTTCTGAATAGCATGAGCTTAATCAGTATGTTAATCACAGCTAGACACAACTAATAAGTAGAACTTTTAAAGTCAAGTTCTATTGATTTAATGGCTCTGTTGTAGTCAGAACCAATAATTGGATTTTATTAATTGGATTTAGGTCATTTTCTAATATTTTCATCTTTCAGAATTTATTTTGAACCTCCATTGCTATATACCAAAATATATTATGTGTCACTTTCTTGTACTCTGCAAGATCCTATTGAGGCATTATAGAATCTGGTTTCCATCATTAAAAGAAATATTAAAGCCTGCCCCCCTCTGTCAACACTTTCTTCATGCTGCCCATATCGACTTTGAAGAAGAAAGGTTCTGGCTTGACTGTACACATGAGCAAGGCATGTAAAGCCTATGTGTGAATAGGAGCCTCTCCTCTCCTCCTTGTTGATCACATGGAAAAAATGATGATTATGGTTAGCTCCACCTAGGTAATGGAACTGGGAAAAGTAAACATGGACGTATGTTTAAGGTTTTTTCCCCCGTTATATTTTTAAGAGTTCATCTTGCTAAAACCTGATCCTTATAAAACTGTAGGATTTTAGCAAGGGTGTAAGAGAAAGCCAAAGTGTTTGTGTAAGTTTACAGGTAATTTTTTTTAATGGGGCTGCTCTTGTATTTTTATTATTATTTTACATTTAAGGGTGCGATACAGGACTACTGACCAACAGTCAATGTTTAGTGTAATAGTGAATGAAGGCCAGTAATCCTGCAGTGTTCATTCTTTGGTTTACCTCTGTCATGTACGCCTTGTGAATTAGTTTCCATTTTATTCTGTTGGACTGATAACCAAAATGTTGCACCCATTATTATTACCTTGTTTTATTCTCCTTTTCATCTATATATTCTTCTATATGATTTTTCTATTGTTTTTTATCTCAAGCTGTAAAGTATCACCATTGAGCCTGTAACTGCAATGAGCTCTGTTTCCCCATTTGTTTACAATATTTTTCTTCACATGATTTTTCTCCATATGATTTTCCCCATTTCTTTTTTTTAGATGCAGCTTCATTCTTCATAGGTATGCTATTTCCCAGCTCTTTCACAAACCCCAAATATTGTCCATCTTTGTGGTGTGTTTTTAAACTAGTTTTCACTCTCTTTCTCAGTTTGTTATTTGTTTCTTTTCAAATGTGACACTAACATTTAATTACCATTTTCTTGTCTAGCAGCATATGATACACAGTTGAACCAGAAAAAAAATTAATGAAAAGATGGTGTGATGCTCAAGATTACACAAACACAAAATTAGGGAATACCTTTATTAGATGACTAAAAAACTAAGCAAACAGCAAGCTTTCATGGATTAATTGCACTACTTCAGACCTGTGCACCAATATTTATGGATAGCGCAGAGAAATTGTAAATAAAAGTCTCTAAAATTCATTGCAGATGTGTGTGCCAGGTGAGGTGAGTTCAAACCAAGACTGCAAACTGCCACTGGATACATGGTGTGAAGCCCCACTTCTGGCAGCATGGTTGGAATTTTCCATCCAATTCTTTAGACAGGAGTTCACCAATTACTCTGTAATTTCCCTACAAACACATATCCTCATACAGTGCCTGTTTTTGAAATGTAAGGTTCCTTTTGGCTCTGTGGTTTAGGGAAAGAGAAACACAGCAACTTCCATCAGAAGGTTGGGGTTAGAATTTGGTGTGCTTACCCTGTACAAGCCAATTAAAACCCAGTTAAAGCCAAATTAATAGTTTTACCTGGTGAGCAGATGTTTTCTTCTGTTTGCAGTCCCATTCAATTGATGCAGAGAATCCACTTTGTCCTACAGGTGGTGCTGTGGGTAGCCATTGATGGTATCTTACATAGTCCAGGCCACCATTTTGCCATTTAACTTAATGCTTGGATTCCCAAAGGATGCCAACATTTTTGGTACAAACATTGTTAGCAACTCTCCACTTTCAATAGAGAACATTTAACTATCTGCTGAAGATTCATCAGACAGAAATATTAAACACTTAATTTAAATTTACAACAACCATACTCAACACCAGTTTCATGATGTAGGATCAATAGCTGATCACTCATTACTTGTTGGTGTTTGTTTGTTTTGGTTTTTTTCTTTTTTGCTAATAATGAAGGTCCTAGTCATCCTCAGTTGACATACTCATTAACAGTGACATTTTTTCCACTTACATGAGGAAGCATTCATTTCTTCCTTGGACAAATGGATGAATGCTTATTCAGCACTGCTTGTGAAGCTACAAGAAAGGAGATCCCTGTTACAGTGCTGATGGAACAGTATCCCAGCAGATCTGTAGCACTTTGAAAAAAGCAAGATAGTTCCACCCTATTTTGTATCTTAAATATTTCTCTGTGTGACATACCAGAGGTATTTCCCAAGACCACAGCTCACGTTATTTCTGTTAACAACTAGTCATTTTGTAGCCTTTGTATGCATGCTTTAATATTAATAATCCTGCTCCCTCAAGTCAATTCTGACTTATGGTGATCCTTTTCAGAGTTTTACAGATAGAGAATACTCAGAAATGGCTTACCAATCCCTTATTCTGGGGTATCCCGGGGACTGTGTAGCTTGCCAAAGGCCACACAAACTGGCTCTACTTGAAGGAGGCACAATGGGGAATTAAACTCCCAACTTCTGGCTCCACAGCCAGATACCTAAACCACTGAGCTATCCAGCCACTTATGCATGCCTTAAGACTATACAATACAGGGAGAACAATTTCCTTTCACATAGCAATTGCTCCATGAAGATTGGTTTCACTATGTTTTCATATCAAGCCAAATATGATCTTACTTCATGGGAGAGCTGTAATGTGAAGACAGACTCAGTCTGTTAATGCTCATTTAACACATTTTTCTACTAAATGTATGTTTAATTTTCCTCTAGATCCTGACAGCAAAAGCAGAGGCTGCTATAACAAACTGTAAATGGAATATGTATGATAATACATATTCTACAGAAAAGATTTACCTCCCAAATATCATTCATATAATCATACATATCTTTTTGCTGACAGTTCTAGTCTACGTCCAACAAAGTCAGTGGCATGATAGAAAGAACATGTTACTATGTAGAATGTTTTCAGATGACACTTTTATGTACACCTCCCCTGCTTTGTTCATAGAAATTTATAAGGGGTCCCAATTATATCTCCCAATTGTAAACCTCCTGTGTTTTCCCACTTCCTTTGCCCACTTTCCTACCAGAAGAAGAATGCTAAGAAGAAGCATCAAGGACAGAGCCTTTTGATTGGTAGCACCAGGAGTCCTTTAGCAGGAAGGACCCTGACTCCTAATATTTGGAATAAGAGAGCTTCAAACATAATGAATGAACAGGACTTTTCAACATCCATTTTTAGCCCCCATTCCTAGGTGTACAAAAGGATAATACTGGATTGATTCCCCAAAGAAGCTCAACCAGAAATGAGTAGAGTTATCTTCTTGAACTACAACTCCCAGAATGTCCCAGCTAGCATGCTCACTAGGATATCCAGGAAGTTGTCGTAAAACCGAGTAATGTTTCCTATTTCTGGGCTCACCTAGTATTGTCGCTGTTACATTCTGGAGTCAAATGAAAAACTTTCTTTTGTCTGAGCATTCTAAGATATTGCTTTAATAGCAGGGATAATCTGGCTAAGCTCCAGTTTGTATCTAGTTCTAGTTGTTACTTTTAAAAGAATTATTTATTACATTTGTTGTTTTGGCTAGCTGTTTTAAATCCCCTTATTTTATTGGCAGCTTGGGAAACTCATTTGGTTGAAGAGCAGATTACCTACATATGAAATTTAGCATTTAGTATTGGAGTGTTTCAAAATGTCACTGGCATTGTTGCTTGTGTTTGGAAAAACTTTGACAGACGATGCACATCACTTATAGGCACAAATAAAAGATAATCCTTATTTTGGCTTCACAAGGAGTTTGTGGTTCATAGCGAGCTCCTCAGAGTCTGAAATTGTTAGTAGTACTGATGGTGCTTGCATATTAATGTTAAAAAGTTAAACAGATCTAATTCATTGCTTTTTAAATAGGTAGAAGTTTAATTTGTTAATTCATAAAATTCACCAAAATATTACACTTCGAAATATAATTTAGAATTACTGAAATGATGGCTATAGGATATACAGTGAGAAACCTTACGATAATGTTTTTGCTGTTTTGATTGTTAAAATAATGAGATCTATACTCGGTGCTCTAACATTAACCAAATTAACTAATAATGTGTATTTAATGTATTATTGCAAAGCTCTGGATATCCCTAGTGATTAGAAAGAACCTTGGAGCCTTCTTGCATGGCAGTTTTAAATTGTTCTGCACCCTAGATCTGTTTATGACCATATCTGCACCATGTGTCCACGCTCTACATGTTGATTATTGTAGGCATAGCACTGGCTGTGCAGGTGTCTTAACCGGAAAGTACCCTTGCTTTTGTGAGTACTTACTTCCTCAGTGAATGGCTGGCATGAGGTATTACCATAAAACATTTCCTCAGTGCCTCTTTTCCCATGCTTTCCCATAAGGCTAGTTTTACCACTAAGCAGAATGAGATGGCAGTTCTGGGAACAGATTTGATGAGTCTTTTATAAAAAGAAGGCAAATGCTTAGTTCTTCAAATTATTGCTACTGTGTCTTTACTTCCAAGACTGGAGGTCATGGGATTTTCCGATTTCTGTGCCTGAAATAATTTGGACAGCCTTCAGTGCTATGTGCCTAGATAGGGAAAAGGAGACCATTTGCTGTTCCACTTAAGGTAGCACAGTATCTTGTGCCAGCCCTGCTTTCCTCTAAGGTTTTATTTGAGGAGGGGGAGTAATGCTGGTCTATACAAATAAAAACAACAACAACAACAGAAGGAGTACCAGACATTAATAGGAATAACTCATGGATTCTTTGTCTTCCCTTCGGTTACATGCATGTTCATTTGAATTATGGGAGTCTTTTCTGAATAGGCAATTAACTCGTGAACAGGTTTGATTGGGAGTTTACCTATTAATGACTTTGCCAAATGCCACGACTCTTATAATGAAAGTTTTAACCCCAGCTGATATTGACTCATTGCCATGTAACTTCCCATACCTCTTTGTGGCTTGTCCATTTAATTCAAATGTGCCTTGTTCCTTCATGCATGCTGTTGGAATGAACGAATGAGAGAATGCAGGCTGCCTGATTCAAGCTGAAGGTGAATGTCTCTCTTAATAAAAAATTTGCAGTGCTTCCAGTGCTAGCTACATCTCTTGACTATCAACTATATATTTTTGTTTCCTCCCCAGTTTTCCTTTCCTACCGACTTCTCCTTGGGTTTTGAATTATGCCTGCTTCTTTACTGCTCTTTTTTTGTTGTTGTTTTGTTTTTTCATTCTCCTCATTGGAGGCAATGAGCCGTCCAGCGGTCGGAACTCCCCTTACCGACCAGACAGCCGCCCTCTAACACCAACTTACGCTCAGGCCCCTAAACATTTCCATGTTCCAGGTAGGAGCTGGCACTGTATGTCTTGGTGTCCTGTCATAGTGTAGACTGTAGCTTTGTCACCTTTGTCTTGTCTTCATTGCTTCACGCTATTCAGTTCGTTTTTCAGTTTAAAGTTTGAAGCACACCTTTGACTGCTTTGCAATGCAGCACTTGTTGGCTTTGTTTTCAGAAAAATTAGAAAGTCTTGAGTGTTGAGATAGTCTTTAATATAATTAAATTAAATCTATTAGTTAGATAATGGGGAAGACAAGGGTGCACTGCGATGAGATCATAATATACTGTACATGACCCACAACTGTTTTGGCTTACATAAAAGTAACATCATATGGCATTATATAGCATCTTTCATAGCTTTAAGAAACAGACAGGATTTAGGTCACAGTCCTAAACATAGTTAATGCAGGAGTAAGTCCAAGTTGAATTCCTTTAACTGCCAAGTAATGCAGTTTTACAATTCCCTTCTTGTGCAGACAGTGAATGTAGCTGTTAGAGGAATGTTCACTGGCAAGCCACACTGGGGTAGGGGGTCATAGTCTGTAGACCCTCATATGGAGATGTTCAAAATGCTACCACATTTTCTTAAATACGTTTTGACTCCTTTATTTCTGTATACCAGGTATGGGGTCCTTTTTTCATGTTGAGATTTACATTACTTCTACCTTACATGGCAGGCCCCTTATTCCAACAGTGTGTTGGACAGAATCTAGTGTAGTCCAGGCATATTCACGCACAAATCCATTCACACTTACACATCTACCCACACGCACGCACAAACATGCATGTGTGTCCCCACTCACAAGGTTCCTTTTGCTCTATCTGTCTCTTGTTGTTCTCTGCCAAAGCGAGACAGATGAGAGAGGAACAACCAGAGGCAGGTTGGCAAGCCAGCATGTTCTCATGGGTGCACTTGCTTGCCATGCCACCGCTCCTGTCAGCATCTTTTACATCTAGCACAGTTTCCACTACAGAGACAGGGGGAACTCAGAGAATTTCCCTGATGGAGATGCAGGTGAGCAGGCAAACACTGCATTGAAGCAGAAGGTTTAGGAAGCCTTTAACTGCCTAATCAGCTTTCCCCCATTTGCTTTCCTGCTTGTCTCCTTTTGAGAAGTGCTTGCAGAAGCTGCGTGTGCTTTGTGTGCCATCACCTGTCAATACCACTTACTTAGCAATCCCATCACTCTCCACTGGGTCCACTATTTCTGAGATGATGCTTCCAGGACAGCTAGAAGGCTGTTTCCTAAGCCCCGGGGTTGTGTCTTCAAGATAGTCCCAGGGTCCATAGAGAATGAGGCAAAGGTTCCTATAAAATCTTTTATGTGTTTTCTGTTTGTTAAGTAGAACTTGAGCCTCTCCTCAGTAACTCTGTTCCAAGTTCAGACCTTATAGTATATTCTGCTCTCACACTCCTGTGTGCTGCTAATAATGTGAACATCTTCTGCATTTGGCTATGGCTAAGGGTTTTTCTTAAACCCCACTTGCTTCTGATTCCCAATAAAAGCAGTTGCCTAGGCATGTGCAGTAGAGTCTCTTGGAGAGAGAAAATAAATGATGGGTAGATCATGTAGTGTTAGGTTCCTGAAATAAAGAAACAGCTGCATTATGTTAACCTCATTAAATAGTCCAAGCAAAGAAATAATATACATAATTTTCCAATATAAGAAATCCCATCATACAGTAAGCTGGTCAATTTATTCTGGTGCATTTGGAAAAAGATGAAGAAGGTTACCCATGTCCTTCGTCAGTGAACGGTGCTATCAGTATTTTCTGTTGTATGTCCAGTACAGATTTTTTTCTAGATTCAGTGATGTGCCTGGCTAAATATTTTAGCCAGAGAAGTAATGACAGTGCTGCCAAGACATTTTCCTTTTATAGCTATAGATAGGCAAGATATTCTTTTCCAGATCCATATATACTGGAATTGTTCTCCATACACAAGGATGTCCTGGAGGTGAGGGGATGAAAACACCTGGAAGCCAAGCTAATAGTTTAATCACTACCCTTTACAATGCATTATTAAAATAATTACTTCCAGATATCAAATCATTTAGTATTAATTAGCTTGTGACAAAATATTTTGTATAAGAGAAATGCACTGTACAATAAATACAGACATTTCCCTTTTTTGCATTGCAAAGCCCCAATCCTGTTCACACTTGCTTGGGAATAAGCCTCACTGAACACAATGGTTCTTACTTCTGAATGCACAGAAATTGAACATCAACAGCCCTCATCTTTTTGTCTGCCTACTAAGAGAAGTGGGTTATTCTCTTAAATCACAGAATGGCCAAAATTCTATTGTACAACTCCTCATGTACAATGGTGATGATGTCATCAACAGTAGCAAATTTCCACTGTTTAACGGCTTCTTTTGGGGATTCTGAGATGTGCACCACTTTATTGCTTTGTGTATAAGTCATGGGCACCTAGAAATTGTCTTTAAAGTAGTAATTTGCTGCTGCTGCTGCTGTCATCACCATTGTGCATGAAGAGCTGCATTGTCTTTAAAGTAGTAATTTGCTGCTGCTACTGCTGCTGCTGTCATCTCCATTGTGCACGAAGAGCTGCGCAACAAGATAACCAAAATGTTGTGGCTTTAAATATATTTATTTACTCTTACAGTTCTTCAGGCTTTCTAAGAATCCTAAGAATTGCATTGTCATATCAGTTCTCAGTGTCCTTGCAATTCAGTATTTGAGAGGAACATGAACTTTTCCTTTAGACTATAGCCAAGTACTTTTTTGAAAAATAAAAAGGAAGTTAATGATATTTAACACATAGCTAAAGTAATGCCAAAATAGGGGGCTTTGACATCAATTACATGTCATAAAATGCTTCAAGAACATTTCATGCTTTTGGTGGTATGAGGTGGTTTTAGCACATAGAAAGAAGCATGGGAAGAAACCTGGAGGCTTATTGTAGTCTTGAATAAAATGGCTATACTTTAGGATGCCATCTTAAGAAGCATGTTCTGAAGCCTTTGGTGTAAATGCATCTCTTTGCTATGTGTGTTGGATGAGAAATTGAACTGCTGCACAATTTCTCTGTTGGCATTAGGGGGCTATAGTCTCCATCAAATTATTCCCATCTCCTACTCTGGCATGTCTATTTCAATTCCATTTCCATCAAAATGTGTTTACCCTCCACTAAAGTCTACCAAGAATTTAACCAAAACGGTTCACACTTTAGATAACATCACCAATTGCCAACTATATACATCAACAATTTTATGTCATCTCTATGTGATCTTTTTTGCACCTGTCTTTGTGTCTTGTTTTCATTATAGATTTCCTCTTTTTATGTAACATTAGAGTTAGCTTTCTGGATTTATGTCTCCAGTCATTAGTTTGGATCATCCGTCAATTTGATGTTTGGTTTCTTCTCCTTCCCTAGAAAATAATTGAAAATGTCCAAGTATTCATATGTTCCTGCTTTTTATTTTTACAGATCAAGGCATCAACATTTATAGAAAACCACCTATCTACAAACAGCATGGTAAACCTTATTCTTTCTGTCTTCAGAATGAAACCAGCTAATATATTAAAAGTCTGCATGGCAGAAAAGTAGAATTATGTAGTGCATTCATGGCAAACATTTGTAACATTACTTGACTGTTGCATGCTTATAGCCTTTTAAAGTTAACGCTTTTTTATGGTTTTCTTTCCCAGTCCCCTCCCCATATAAACAGAGCATTTTTGAAAGCTGCAAATGCATATGATATACCTTATGGCTTTAACTGTGAGGCATAGGATTCTATTGTCATGTGTGTAAAATACCTTATGTGTTACGTGGTATCGTGCTTGTGAGCAAGAACAATACAACATGCATCTTGTTTGCCTTTGCTTCTGTCCAGTAAACTGCCTCTATTTTATTTTTAAACTGAAGTTATTTTTATACTAGCCTGCAGCATTCCAAATGCTAATGTACTAAAAAAACTTGCATTCCTGCTTTTTGAAACATTGAAAGCCTCTTGAGAAATGCCAGAATCTCTGGAGGAATAGTCAGTTAATTCATTCCTAGTTAAGATACCCTATGATCATAAGACTAATCTTAAAGTGGTTTTTTTTTCTGTTGAAGGAGGCACCCATGATCAATCTAAGCAACTACAGACAGAATACTGTATAGTAAAGTCCAGCTATATAGGCAACTTTATTGCATGCACATATAATTCCTTCATGCCCCAACACCATAATATCGAAACAATTTGGAAACCATGAAAAAAAAAAGATGGGCTTATGCCTTATTTTATATTCATCCTCTTTAACAGTTGAAGTAAACATATCCCCCAGTAAACAGCCTGAATATAAAAATGGAACTATTTTTGTAAAAATAAAATAAAAACAGTTTTAATGGAGTGGTGAGAAGACAGACAAGACAAAGAGGATGATTGTTTTCTCCTTAAGACTACCCTTCACCTCTTCTGATGCCGTGGCTCTTCATACATATTTAATTATGGAGAGCCATGTGCAATGGAAGGCTTCTTCCCTGTACATATTGCTTGCTAGAACAGGGACTGTGGACACCAATGGATTGTCCATTATAATGATCATCTAAGTGGAAATGGTTTTCAATTTTTCAGATAGGTTTCATGTGGGCATCAGTTAAACTGGGGGGTGCTCATGTTTCCATAAAAATTTCCATAGAGTGAACTGGGATGGAGGAAGTGTGTTTTTAGAGATGTGTTGCCCTAGCCAAATTTCCTCTCCAAATAAATTTTATTTACTGATTCATGCCCCCGGCCAGCTGGGAAGTCACACTTTCTGTTTCTGTGTTCAGAAGCAGCATGATAGCAGTGCATACGCACCTGTCTGTTTGGGAAAGCACTGTTGTTTAAAAACGAGCATGGTGTTCCAGAATACCTGCATGTAGGAACTTAACAAGCATCTGATGTTCCCCAATATACCACCCAGTGTATCTGTACCTGGAACATCCACTTAATGATGTGAGATGCAACAGAGAATGTACTTGGATTTATATTCTCTCCCACTGAATAACCGTAGCCAATTCTTGAATATCCCAAGTAAAAACTTCTAGGTCAAACGTGTCTTTATAGTATGCTTAATCCCTAGCAGCTCTCATTTGGGGAATTAAGCACTGAGAGTGGGGCGCTCGTAATTAGGGGAAGCCTCTCTCTTTTGAATAGCAAAGGTCACATTAAAGTATCTTCCAAGGGAAAAATCACTAGAGAGCCTGTGCTGAAAATATATTTTACATAGTATCTAGAAATAGAAAATGTAATTACAGTTTTTTGGTAAGTAGCTGTTCATGACTCAAATGGGAACAGAAATTCTATGACAATCAAGGAATGACCGAGAACAATTCCAGAGAATAATATATCGAAGTGTTAGATTGTTTGAGGGCCGATGGTTATTATGGGGTGGCATTATAAGTAGTACCTTGTAATTATTATTTAATTTTTAATCATGCCATATATTTTTTTTCTTAACCTTTTTTCATTTCTTTATGATTTTTTATTGTGTCTACTCACCTCCCATTAACATGTGAATGTTTTACTTCTGATCTCATCCATTCTAATACGTAAGTATTGTTTGAAGTCATGCTTTTCTCATTCCCCAAGCAATAAAACAGAGTAGGTCCTCTGTACTCACTGAAGTTGTATAGCATTCAGGAGCTTCTGTGTTCCTTTTTGAATGAAAGGGAGCCACCAAACCAGTGCAGTGTGAAACGCTTGAGCAGCTTCTGTTTGCTTCATTCAGCTTCAAGCATGAACAGTTTCTAGTTGATTGTGCAACATTTAAACAAAAGCCGCAGCAGTTTCCCAAGAGCATAGGAGAGGCTTTCTCGAAGTCAGTATATGCACATTTATTTCTCATTCAACTATTCCTTGAAAGCATATTGTTATCACTCAGTCAGTAGCTGGGAAAATAACTCTTCCTCTCCTAAATACATACCTTTCTGCACATGCTCAGGTAGACTGTGCTTGGAAAGTAATTATATAAGAAAAGGAGAGTAGGCTCATGTCACTGCAACTGTCTCAAGATATGCACATTCAGCATGGCATCTGCATAGGGAGTCCCTAAGGGCCAAAGAGCACATGACAGGAAACACATATTTGCTTTATTAATGTTTTTCCTCGAGACACACCATTCCTGCAAAATTCTGTGCCCGAGTAAGCAGACTTTCAAATAAAACATGTTTACCTGTCAATGACCAATCACAAAACAAAAGCAAGTTAATTTGCAGTGTAAGGAGATAGGAAAGATATCTTTTGTCTTTTAAGGGAGCTCCATTTCTAATGACATCCTAAAAACATCATCTGGCTCTAAGTCCAGGCTTTGCACACAATCAAGAATTCAAATTCCTGTGGGACATCTATGCATCTACAGCTATAAATAGCAGTAAATTCAGGTATTATATGTTAGGATGGTTTTACTATACACAGAAGAAAGTGTTCTAGCTCTGCTTCCTTGACCTGGAATGTTGTCACCCTTCTGCATATGGAGGGTAAAAAGAAAGAACTCTGCTATCCATAGAGATTCTTTATGTGGGTCTAGGAGCTTTCCCTCTTCAGAGTCATCCCCCTCCACCTGTTGAAAAGAGACAGAAATAATGGCAAAAAAGGCTAATGCTAGGGAGGCCTTCCACATGAGTTGAGTTTGCCCTAAAAATATAATGCCTGGACAGGACAAGTATATAGGATACCTTTTTCTGATAAACACGGAATACTCAAAATCAAGGAGGCAAAGCCCAATGGTGCTCCATGTTTTCTCCACATATGGAGAAGAAGTGTAAAATATCTGTAAAAATATTTAATGATGGACAACAACAACAGAGCAGTCCACCCACCATGCCCATGCTGTTTTGTGAACTTTTAATATTTAGTTTTCAAAATAGTTTAGAGGGTATTGCAGTTGTTTTACAAACCCAGTATCGCTACGGACACCGCGGAATTAACTCCTACATTCTCTCTGTACAGCAGCAGTACTCTTGTGATTTTGTAAACACTTTAAAGTTCACTTACTGTAATTTTTTGGACTGCCATTTATCATCCTTCTTAACAAAATGATAAATCAGCACTTATCGTATTGTCATTTCAAAAAGGACCTGATCTATTGCTGTACAGCAGAAGCACACTTCAAGATAGGAATGGCCTTCCAGAAGTGCTTGGCTCACGTTTCCATCTGGAACGCTGCAGTAACCAGCCAAAAACATCCCATTCATTTTAACGGAACATTAAGTCATCCATATATGATAAATGGCTTTGTTTCTCTTATTGACAGGAGCATGGTCCCTAAGACATTATATGACTAAAAGGGGGTGGGGAGCCTTGTAGTTTGGCTCACATGGTAACATCTGAAAAGCAGTGGGTGCTTTCAAAAATTCAATAAAGCACCCCAAAACAGTATGGCCCCCTGTCCCCCACAGCCTTCGAACATATTCACTTCCATTCATACGAGTTCCTTGGTATTTATTTCCTTCATAACCTTTCCTGTCTTTTCCCCACAGTTGCTTCATACACATTGTAATTGGTCTAACATTTTACACTGAAAACTGCTAAGGGTGAAGCTGTGCTGTCATTTTGTATATGCAAAACTCTGCCGTAATGAGATACTTCTTTGTTGTTTGCCTGCATTGAATGTGCCACTGTGTTTTTAAGGATATGTACTAATTTAACTGCAGTATCTGACCTCGTGGCAATACTCTATCTCCCTGTATGTAATGGTATCAAAGCTTCATCCTAAGCATATTGTCAGTATTACAGTACATTGTACATGGTGATAACATTAGTTTTGCATCAATTTCAGACAGAAACAGCATTGTTTAAATTAATGTGGATAGATTGCCATGCTTTAAATTCATGTGCAGTTGCAGAAGTAGACATCAAGGATGTTCAGTGGAGTAAAGTATTTTTTGTTTAACCCAGCTACTGATTCGAATTGATGACAGCGTATTTATTTAATTAATATAATTTGGAAATGATGCTACACAGCAGAAAGGTCTCAGCGACGTCCAATTAACATAGTACAGTTCTTATCCCATTTCATTTGTTTGCAAAAAAAAAAAATGGTTAAAATGCCATGGCATTAGACCCAGTATAGCACTACTGAAATTCTCTCATCTTCCTGACTTATTAAAAAAAAGTGACAAATCACTGAATTCTTTTTTAAATGAAGGTTGTTACTAAAAATTACCACAGAATACTTCTGCTGTTGCAGTGAGGTTGGTCTCTTCTGGCCATACTAAAGCTGCATGCCCACAAAGCATTTTAGTGGTAGCGACACTTTGGAAGTGCATTGAAGTGTCCTGCACCCAAACAAGTAAGTTTATGGAATAAACTTAAAGAAATCTGCCCACAAGTTTGCTTCTGAAGTTGGCTGGCCATACTCCTCATTGGCTGACAGCTGTAATCTCACAAAACGGTCCCTTTCCTACCTATCACCAGCCACCATCTTTCAAAACTGGTTGTACAAGAAAAATAAAGGAGCATTTGAATCTGAGATGCAAAAGCCTTTTTGTGCAAAGGCCACATTCACTTAGGGCTAATCTATTGGCTTTGTAGGTGAGAAGTGGATTTGGCAAGAGACATAGATGGGCTACCTTACTTACTTCCCTCCCTGTTTCTTCCCTGGCAAGCGGATTGCTCTTGGCAGAGGTCTGCAGCCTATGTACAGAGGACTTTTTGTTATTGTTTGGATTTATATACTGCCCTATACTGCTGAAGCACACTCTGGGTGGTTGACAGCATAATTATGCAAACATAATTATGCAAAAAACAATTATGCTGCTGCCCCATCCCCCCGCAGTGAGTTGGGTACTGATATTTTGAATTTTGACTTTAGAATTAGGCTAAGATCAAGACTTTAGGTTGCTCACACTTTGATTCAACCTTAAACATGACACATAAGTGATTGGAAAGTCTGAAGCAGCATTTTAATTACTGATTTGTATACCATTATACTGTACAGGTAGGAGGAAGCCAGGTTCATCCAAGAGAGAACAGTCCACTGTGGGTCTACTTATTATTTATTTATAAATAAATTTATATTTATAAATAAATAATCTAATGCTAATTAAATTAATTTAATGCTTTGTGTGTATGCATCTGATAAATATGCTGTTCTAACGAAACTTTTAGAAGAAAAATTGACTTGTGCTGAATAGAATAGCTTGTGGTATTTCAAATTCCAGATTAATTCCACATTAAATTTAGCCTTGGGATGCTAAGGGTTGGACTTAATGAGGACATGAGAAAACAGTGCATTTCTTCATAACTTGAATCTTAACTATTTGAATGGTAATAGAAAAGGGTAAAAAAGAACAATAGTGTTGATGTAGGCTGCAATGTAGCAATTTAATCTGATAGTTTAAGTTCCCATGATTGCCATTTAGATGCAGCTGCCCTGGCAGCCCAGAGCAAGTCTTCCGATGATATCATCAAGTCCTCCAAGTTCCCAGCAGCTCATGCTCCAGCACCCAACGAGATTCCAAAGATTGAGACAGAATACTGGCCAGGTCCTCCCTCACTTGCGGCTTTAGGTATGGAACAAGTGACGTTGGCAAAAAAAAAACAAAAAACCCAAACACTGCTTCCTACGGTCTATAAATCAATTTAAATTTATTGCAAGAAAGTATCTGATACAGGGTCACTGGATTTGTTCCCACTAGATTCTTCAGAGTTATAACAAGGGGAGATGGTTTGTTCCTGAAAATCTTGTCAAATACATCACCTCAGAACAGCTTGTGGTATTTCAAATTCCAAAAGCATGGACAGGTTTCTCTTGCTAAATATTTCTTCTATTGTGTCCTTCATTTCAAACTTTCCAGAGCTTATAAAGACATTTTGGGATTTATCAGAGGAGAATTTTTAAAGGGGATAAATGCCATCAGAGTGTGTATGTTGTTTTCTCCTATGTCCCATTTTGCCCCCAAAATGAAGAGAGTACTTTTTGAATTGAGCAAATTTAATTTAGAATTTGAGAAGGGAAATGAAAAGCATCTGGAGGTACTTGCACCATAATTTGAAAGTGTTACATTTTGGGACTACAATTTCCAGCATTCTCCCCCATCTTATACTGCCTTGAGAATTGCAGCCAGAAAACAAGCTCTGGGCTATGTAGGTGGCTCTCTGGATCATTGGCATAAGTAGAGGAAGGACACTATCCATAATGTTTAGACTGTAGAGGCAGGATATGTCTAAATTAAGAACTGCTAATAAACAGTTCTTACCTTGAAAACATAGACAAAGCAAATGTGATACCTTGAACACTGCAATAAAATTTGACTTATTTCAGGTCTCTTCAACTGCCCTTTTCTCCCCATCCTATTGCGTTAGGATACAATGTCCCAGTCTGACTGTTAGACAGAATGGAAATTGTGGTCTGTCACTCTGGCCATTTTCCCTGGGCCCTCATCTCTGACTGTATTCATCCTCCTGAGCCTGTATCTGGTTACAGTATCTGAATCCTACACTGGCTGACGTATTGGCCTAGTAACCTTTTCCAAGGATGTCATAGTTAGTGTCACATATCTCTGATAGAAACGTTTTGGCCACACCAGCAATTTCAGCAGGCATCATGATATGTCTGCATCACCCTGCTCATGGGGCATATGCTAGAATATAGTAGCACTGCTGTTTTAATTCAACTGGTCGACAACAATCAAGCACCAGATAGTGCAGGGAATGATCTGAGCAGAGCAGTTTTGAAAAACAGAGCTGTGCATATGACAGAGCCTGTCCAGTGTCCTTTAAACTGGCACACTGCCTTCATATCTAGTAGGGGACGCCATCTTGTTGTCAGGGTTGAACTAAGATTCAGCTGCCAAGTCTGATCAACCTTTGTATGTGGAATTGGCAGGGGGAACTGAAGATATATTACGAACAATGTATTTAGGATTCTTGATGGACAGCCATAGGATAGTAATTTTTATATGAACTTAAAAGTTTAAATTTTAAAAAGCTCACATTTACGTCATCCTTATGCCTTTAAAGTATTTGTTTTATTTCTCATGCTTTTTTTCATCCTTTTAAATATTTTGTTTAAAAGCAGTTTATATGTCACATCATGTTCTTTGTCCACATGATTAACTAAGGTCTGAGGGAGCATAAGATTTAATATATATTGGTTACCTGTTACATACTGTGTCTGATTCACATGGTACCATTTAGACATGTAAAAGTCAACATAAGGTGATTTTACTGTATAAGATTAAGGTCAACATTGTATATTATCAATGAAGAGATTTTATCACATCAGCTTTATGTGGGGAAAAATAACTTCTAATGATGTTTCAAAAACGTTCAGTTACTATGTGGTATGGTACCAGTAAAGAGACCCAAAAAGACCCCAATTGTATGCCATGTGTAATGAATATAGTATATATTAAAACGTACATGAAACACCAGATTTGTTATATAACAGTCATCAAAATTCTTCTCCGCAAAATCGTTTTTGTTAAATTGGGTCTTGTTTTTATAATAAATGCCATCTCTGACCACATTAGGGTATATGAAATCAGTGTATTTGACATATGAAATTGATGTAGCTAAAATTAGTTCATGTCAACTTCACCAGAATCGAAAGTGGTAACCTACCGTATTTTTTTGCTCCATGAGACACACCTGATCTTAAGAAGCACATAATTTTTAGAGGAGGAAAACAGGGAAAATATATTTTGAACCAAATAGTGTAATAAAATATTTAATAAACTATAACAGAATAACATTTGAACCATGTAAAGTGAACAGCAGTCAACAGTGGCATTAAGAACCATTACCACTGTCATTGGTTGGACAGTGTCATCGAAGCGATCAACATGAATTTGGCCCAGCTCCGGGAGGCAGTAGAAGACAGGAGGGCCTGGCGTGCTCTGGTCCATGGGGTCACGAAGAGTCGGACACAACTAAATGACTAAACAACAACCACTGTCATTAACAAATGGAGAAACTTAAAGCTTTGTGTACTGTGGTTTATGTACCATAAATTTGTGTGCCATAAATTTAATTCACGTAGATATAGATCATTATCAGCCAGTGATAAGACCTATACCACTCTACCTATATTTCTCTATTAGATGCCCAGAACTAGTTGAAAAGTTTGCAAGTTGAATCCAAATTTCCCATAGAAATGCATTCAAAAATTAATTAATGCATTTTTATGGAGGGGGAGGTCAGAAACTTTAAAAAACTTAAAAGAATGTCACTTACCAGGTACTGTAGACTGAGCCTGGCTCTTCACAGTGCCTTGGTAGACCCCGGAACAGCCAAAAAAGAGCCCCAAACAGCTAAAAGCCAGCAGGCAGCCGGCAGACAGCAGCCATTTTGTGCTCTTCTCCGCTCCTGCTCCTTTCCCCTCCCCTCTCCCCACCTAACAGCTGATCGGTGCTGATCTGAATGGCTTCCCAGGCAGCTTTTAAAGCAAGTACTAGTGTGCACATTTCTACACAAGCAGGTTTCAACTCAAACGGAGCACCTTTTCACCCAAGCACTAACCCCAAACAAACAGCTTTTAAACTAAATTTTACATTTTAAAACGACAATACCAGGCAGTCCCAGGTGTCTCTCCCAGCTCTCCAACTGCTTGGACTAGCAAGGAAGCAGACAAGCAGCCTCTTCACTAACTGAAAGTTTGAATTTCCCACTTTCCCTGCCTTCCCCGCATATTAGGCATGCTAATATCTGTGCACTGGAGGATTGTGGGAGGAACATCCAGCCCCTGATGGGGGTCCTGTGGGGCACCCCAAAACACTGAGTAGCTCTCTTGGCCTCTTTCGGGACTGGGGCTATGCAGCCCTGTTCTGATCAGGAGGTGCAGTCACCATGCCTTTGGGGGACAGGGCACAGAAAGGGACAGGAGGTTCAGGGGCCATTCCAAGTCATACCTGGCAGGGGAGATACCATGATCATCAAAGTGGTTTCCCCAGGGTGAGGCTCATCTATTGCACTTTGGATGTACTGACCCCTGTGATTTCCCTAAATCAACTGCCTAAGTGGGGGGGACTGTGTTTGTGGTTTCCCCTGGTCTTTCTAGAATCACTCTTTCCCCTTTGGTCCTTGGCTATTTTCACTGCCTGCTGCCATAGGCCTGTTGGCCTTGCTGGTTTTCCAGGTGGGCTCCAGGAAGCAGATCCTGTAAAGCCAGCAGTGCAGAATGGTGAGGTCCAAATAGTCAGCAGTCTCTGGTGCCAGTTCAGAGACCTCCCAGCATGGCAGTGGGAGGCTTCTGGGTGGTGGTGGTTGAACCCTTTTTTACTGTATTCGCTCCATAAGACGCACATACTTTCTCCCCCACTATTTGGGGGGGAAAGTGCATCTTATGGAGCGAAAAATATGGTATATAATGGATTTGCAGATGTCAAAAATTCAGGCTACAATTCATTCTTCTAATGTGGAATGTGATAACTTGGCCAGATACATAAAAGAGACTCTTATATTTATTTAGCTGTTTTTAAAGTGAACTAGTGATCCTTGTATATGTTAAATTTGAAATAGAGATTAAAAATCCAGAAGGATTCAGGAGTAGAGTTTTCAAAAAACAACAAAACAGAAATTTATATGGGTATTTACTCCTCTTGTGGTAGCTAATAATAAGGAAAAGTAGCTTCAAGGGTGAACAACTGTGTGCAGACTGGGGATCACTGACTATTTTCCCACTGAAACTCATTCCAAAGTGCTTCTCTCTTCCTGTCAATAGGGTTGAGTTCATGTAAGCATATTTGTCTAAAATCATGTGTGAGGAAAAACAGAAGAAGCAGGGGATTTTTGCAGGAGTTGACAGGCAGGGATGGATTAATTGGACACAAATATCCACCATTTGTTTCCCTTTTGAAGTTGCTTTTCAGTATGTTGCCAGGTGAGTGTGTATAGGATTGTGCCCTAAGGCTAGGATATAATTACCTGACCAGGCTTCCGAGGCCCATATCCAAATCCAAAGAGCTTTGTTGTTGAAGGGCTTACTTATTTCCTTGAAGGATATATTGCCTGCTTCTGCTTAGTGTAAAATCAGAGAGTAAAATCAGAAAAATACATATCTGTTCTAAACGTCTAAGTCATTATTTATGCCAGTTTCTAGCACTTATGATACTAAAGGAACCACAGCTTCCCCTTAGTAGTTGATTTGGATATGGAGTTGCTGATACCTTTAATCCCAAACCCTTGACTCATTTATTACAATGGGCCCATAACTTCTTTATGATAATATTCTCTATATTTTGCTCATAAGTAGGATGACTAGATGAAAAGTGACAGGGTTACTGTACTTTTAAACATTTCCCTGGAAGAGAAAATTTCAGCAGGTGCAGCTGTGATGCCTGCTTAAATTTCCTCTTTCACACAACTACCAAAGGTATAGGAACTCTTTCTTTTTTGTGGGGAAAGAATACATATTTAACACCTTTATATTAAAAGCATCACACTTGCATTAATAAGTGGACAAGCCAAATGAAGTATTTAAAGAATAATATTATATGAAAAACTGTTTTTTAAAAGATGAAATGCGTTTTCCTATTTAATGTAAAAGTAGCAATTTTAACCTTAATGTATTAAATCTATCACATTCTTTCCAAGCTCTGTCTCTTACATCAGAGGTCCCCAACCTTGGGCCTCCAGATGTTCTTGGACTACAACTCCCAGAAGCCTTCGCCACCACCTCTGTTGGCCGGGATTTCTGGGAGTTGAAGTCCAGTAACATCTGGAGGCCCAAGGTTGGGGACCACTGTCTTACATGACAAAAAGAGAACTGAAATCCAGTGGCATCCTATTAATATCATCATCATCATTACTTTGATGGATAGTCTGCCCTTCCCCATAAGAGACCAAAGTGGCAATTAGCACAAGGCAATGCACAACCTGTTTCACAAGCTTCTGCACAAAATGTGTCAGTGTGTTTGGTCCATATTGTGCAGAATCTTTTGCTAGCTCTTATGTAGCAGTTAACAAAGTGGCACCACTGCCAGATTTTCTTCCACTGCTATGTCTCTGGATCCAACCTATCTGAGAGTCATCTGTTGATTTTAGTGGGAAATAGGGCATCCATGCAAAAATTGTTACTCAAAAAATGAAAACTTTAGACTTAAATTTCCTGTGCTGAGGTATGGCCCCACCATTGTAAACAGAGAGCTGAGACATCTAAGGTCTTCTGTCCATGTTGACAGTAGGAAGTATGATGTTGTAGCAAGAGGACTTGTCAACAAGTTATTTGGAGGGGGTTTAGCTGCCAGAACTTGACAATATAGCCATCTAGGAGCTGCCAGCACAGTATTTTCAGCGAACAACTCAGTGGGAAATAACAAAAAAATGTGGGCGCACAAAAGGTGGAGACTTGATCCAGAAGCACAATAATCATTCTGCCATAATTATTTATATATTTAGGGGAAGACAAGCAAATCCAAGAAAGTGTGTATATTAAAAGCTAGCCCTTTTTGTACCGTTTGCAAGAAGCTTTCTTTGTGCTGTGGTTTTGTGAAAGTAGGTTCTGACATGCGACGCAGATCTACTGGCAGAGACGAAGATCTTGAGGAGCTTCAGAGGCGTAGGCAGCTACAGGAGGAACAACTGATGAAGGTGATATAATCTTGTACATTATCCAGATGCACCAAGAGGAATTTGATGGCATAATTTAGTTTTCATATCATACATGTTATTATCATTCACAGCTCAACTCAGGTCTTGGGCAGTTGATATTAAAAGAAGAGATGATGGAAAAAGAAAGATCCAGCAGTCGTTATGAGTCTTCAGTTAATTCATGTAAGCAACAAGTTGGGAAGTTTGCATGGGTGGGCTGTGACCCAGTACTCACATAATTTGGAGTGTGTGCCAGTAAATTCAGTGGGCTTTTTGTCTGAATAAACATGTATAGATCTGCTGCATTTTAAACAGCTTAAAATGAGACCTGTTTTCTTCTGGTTCACTTTCCTGACACAGCATTCTCCAATCATGTTGAACTGCAACTCCCACTATCCCACCTATCCATTTATTTAATTGTTTATTTTACTTATTTATTCTATTTATATCCCACCTATCTGGTCTTGTGACCACTCTAGGCGGCTTAAAAACAAATGAAACAACAAATAAAAATATAACAAAAAGAAATTATTACGTCAAATAGCAGTGCTTCAAGATGGAGAAAAAATAGAGAAGAGGAAAGAATCAAATATTAACTGGCAGGAAGGCCTGCCTGAACATCCATGTTTTTAATTGGTTTTTAAAAATACCCAGCGAAGGGGCCGCACGAATCTCTGGAAGCAGATTGTTCCAGAGGCGAGGAGCCACTGCCAATGAGGCCCGGTTTCTTGTTTTTTTTTTTCCTTCCGGGCCTCCCTCGG